TCCAAAGGCAAAGGCTAGAGGAATAGAGGGCAATCAAGTTCCTCCTAGAGGTTCGGGTTCCAATGCTTCTAAGCAAAACCAATTTTGTGCTCGCCAAGCTAGAGGTGACCATGAGTGTGCTCCAAATGTGGATCCCGGTATGTTTAGAGCCTTTTTATGTGATGTTAATGCTTTCTTAGGTTCCGGTACTATCTTATCTTTTGTGATGCTATTTGTGGCCTTGATATTTGATGTGCTTATTGATGTCATCCTTGGGATGGGTAGGTTGCATTTTTGTTATGCCTCTATGTACCACCCAGTTAAGGTGAGAGAAATGAATTCAAGTGTTGACCAACTCCAAAGAGTTAGTTGCCTTTCTAAGATTGATCTTAGGTTGGGTTAACACCAAATGAGGGTGAAAGATGATGATATTCTGAGAACGGCTTTTTAGAACTCGGTATGGTCATTATATAATGCATGATTAGCTTGGATTGTTGCTAGAGTTGCTTTCCTTAATATGTGTGACTAGGAGTGTTTACCTTTTTCTATGAATGATAAGATAAAGATGGGAATAAAAGGTGACGAGCTTGAAGGATGACCCTAGGTGGTCTACTTTGATGAGTAAGATTAATGAAGGATTAACCATGACTTGGCTTTGTATGCTTTGAGGTTTGCTTATGAAGTATTCTTTTATGTCATGATGGTTTAAGTGTATTAACCATGCTTATGACTTATGTTGTTATCTCTTATGATTATGGTATATGTCTTATGTTGACTAATGCATATGTTGATGATTTATGCAACTATCATATTTAGTACGTTTTGTACTGACGCATACTCTTGCCTATATTCTTATCAAATATAGGTTCCGATGATATTGACTTTCACCCTCGTGGCTAGGATCTTAGTGGAAGCAATGATTGAGGTTTTGGCGAGTCCTCATAGCATTTGAGGATTTGACCTGCATGTTCCTTTATCTTTCATTTTATGTTTAGAACTATTGTATGGGCTGCGTCCCAAAGATATTCATGTTTTAGATGGTTTGAGATAAGTGTAATAGACTTCCGCTTCGTTTTATAAAAGACTTTGAGTTTATGGAACATGTTTTAATTTCCGCTCATTTCTATTACTTTATGTTGTGATATGCTAACAGGCTTGTATAAGGCCTCTCGAGGTCTTGTACGCCTTGTTTCATCTAGGGGGTGCCCCTGGGTCATGACAATGGTATTATCAAATATTTGTTCGAATCGAATTTTGATTTATCGATTACCGAATTATCGAACTGAAATTTGACTGTTTGGTATTTGATATCTACATTCAACTACCAAATATTGAATTATAAATCTCGAGCTTTAGAAAGACCGAACCGAATACCGAATGTCCACCCCTGCCTGGAAAGTAAGAATTAAAGAGTTGTCAAAAAAGAAAAGAGATATTTTTTTTGAAACAAACTAAAAGAGAAAGTAAGACAAATAAGTTAAGACAGATATAGTATTATAAACAGAGCAATATTGAGTAAAATAACAGTACCATCTAATCCATATCTCTAGAAACATTAGTGCTCTCTGATTTTACAACCCCTCCATCACTATAGTCATCTAAAATGGTGTCAATTACAATGGAACCATATGATTCTCCATTGTTTTGAGAATATAAGGAGTTATGACTAAAGTAACTTTGATTTATTATGTTTCTAAAGGGTCGATTGTATGTTGTATTAGAGAAAATAAATTTATGTATTAGTTGTGATATTAGTTAATCCTTCATTTGGTAGGATTTTCAATCTATGTATTCAATATTTGAATTTCGAGTTTTGCCATGATTTTCTTTCTATTTTTCACTCGAAGGAAAGTCAAAGTATTACCATAAATGCTTTAACTTTTCCTGAAAGGAAAATATAATTTTCTCTCATATTTGGGTTATTCCTTCCTTGGAGGAAAAATTTGGAACTCTATAAATTAAAGACTCCTCTTCCCATACAAGATTATCAACAATAAATAGTTGTTTAAGAGTTTTGTTTATGGGGAGATTTTTCTCTCTACAGTTTCTATGTTTAATATTAGTTTTAAATTATGGGGGTCAATTCGCCAAACCATATAATAATATATGTTTCTTTTAGTATAATTTTATGTGTCGTTTAATTTATCATCATATGATTTGCAATTGTAAGCTTCCGCATAACACCCTACTTCATTCGACTAGATCCAATGGTTCAATGAGGTTGAAGACATGTTCAAAGCGGTTCATATCAATTTGCAATCAATCGATAATGAAGATTTTTTGTCCTGTTACATGTGGGGAATATAATGAAGATTTTTTATCTTGTTGGGTTTGGAAGTAATTATGACATTATGCGGATGCTTACAATTGCAAATCATATGCCGATAAATTAGATGACACATAAAATTATACCAAAAAAAAATATATTATTATATGATATGACCAATTTCCTACCTAATTTAAAAAACTAATTGTAAGCAGAAAATTTGTAGAGAGAAAATCTCCCATAAACAAAAGTCTCTAAACGACTACATTGTAGATTCTATTGTGTTATATATGCTATGAGAATATGATCTTCAATTTATAGATCTCCAAACTTTTTCCCTAAAGAAAGAATAACAAAATATGGAAAGGAATTGTATTTTTCTTTCAAGAAAAGTAAAAGGAATTATGGTAATACTTTGACTTTCCTTTATGAAAAAAGTAAAACTCAAATATGGTAAGAAAATTAGGGCAAAACCCTAACAATATGGTGTATAAATAATACATAACAAACCATGATAGTAGCAATATGAGTGCTACTAATACATGGATAATGGTCAAAGACAAACTACTCTTAGAACACCAAACCAAATAGTGGGATAAGAAATAATCTCAATATTACTAACACACGTTATTTAGTACTATACTTATACACTCCACCAAATAACCTAAGTATTTGGAGAATTGAAGCACTAGATTGATGTAACCCTACTTATTGAGATGACAAAACCAAACAATGAGCTTTGTAAGAAACTCTCATGTCCATGTTTTTCTACTTAGAAGTACAATAACTTTGGGTAAACTACTACATCCTTGTTGCTCACAAAATAAATATATAGACTATATATAATTTGGAATTTTATGTTGGATTTGACTAGGGATTTCAAAAGAATATAAAAATCGATCGAATTTAACCGAATCGAATCGATTTATGTTATTGTTACAATAAAACTATAGACTTTATTTAAGTGTATAACCGCCTCGAACAACTGATGTGGTCTTTTTAATTTATGAAAAAATTTGAAAAATTATCGAATCGAATCGAATAACCTTACATATATGTAAATATATTTAATATATTAAGAATATGTTAAATTCAATATATAAATATATTTTATAACATTTTTCAAATATAAATATAACCTAGGTCCTAGGCCTTTGTTGACTAGACGACTTTGGGTCTTTGCTCTTTAATTAGCCTTTACTTAATGGGTTTTAAATTAATTGATATTGTAATAGATTTTCTATCAAACAATACAACAACACCTATGCAAACACTTCTATTAAATGTTTAAGATCAAACAATACGACAATAAGGTTTTACATTCTTGTCTTCTTGGTGAAGCATTAAAGTGCTTCTTCAAGAACATATTTGTGAAAAAAATATTTTAATAGTAGTATATTTGGAGGTGATATTTTAAAAGTAAAAAGACCCAAAAATTAACCGAACCGTACAAATACCGAAGAGAAATCGATATGATTGAGATGGTTTTTTTTTTTAAAATTGATTATATATTATAAAATACCCAAAAAATTCGGATGGTCTAATTTTTTTAAAAATAACCAACCGAACCGTACCATTGACACCCCTAGAATTGACTGTAAGTAGACAATATCACACCATGCTACGAATATTTTTGGATTGTTTGAGCCCAACTATTAGTGTTAGAGCCAATGTTTTGGTGTAATGAGTAAGGATATGGCATAGTAATGGCATGAGTATGACTTACTATCATTTTTCAATTCATGAACTGATTTACTATCTTTATCCGAGACACACAAAGAAGTAACACACAACTAATCTTCAAATTAGTCTATGAATGGTGATGGACGGCATGAGACTTAGTTACTGGTGTACGTGAATAAAGTCTCACATGAAAAGTTAAAAAAAGAAGCTACTTATAAGATGTATCTTTTTGAGAAAAAAATAAAATCATTCGATTTTGACTTTAAGCGGATAATATAAATATCACACTCTGCTAAAAATATCTTTGATCCCAACACTTTATTGTTGGAGAAAAATGTTTGCCTTTTTATGGATCTACAATATAGATTGTTACAAAATTTGGTACTTTAGTTAAAGAATTGACAACAGATGTTGGCTGCTTTAAATAAATTCAGTTTACAAATTCAAGGTTGTGAATTTGACAGATCAATTAAGTTATGAACAATGGGAGTGTGTCTAATTCAATTAATTAATGTTGAATATTTGGTTGTAAATTTAACATCAAACTAAGGACTCAATTACACAAAATGTTGCTCAGTTTTTACAAAATCAATTTCACCACCTATTTTTATTCAATCAGCTATTTTAACTTGCTAATAAAAAAGAGAACATAATTACTTTATAATAACAATAACAAATTGGAGTTTAAAAAGTATAATATGTATGCAAACCTTACCTAGAGAGTTGAGTCATACTTTATACAATTCAAATGAGTAAAGGATTATTACCCAAACAAACCTTTTATTCTATTATATATAAAATTTAAATTAGGAGTTCTTATATCCGCTTCAAATAAAGAAATATTTAATATTCAGACTCTAAATAACTTTAAAATCTTAAATATTAAAAAATAATTAAACATTAATTTTGTGCAGCATAACGTTTATTTAGAAAAAGATAAATATTTTGTGTTGAGCTTCATTTTTAAATAATAGAGTAAGCAACAAGAAAACCAAATAAACACAAATTCTTCACTGTGTTATAACCCGCATGATTATCGGGTATTACCCATTTAAATTCGGGTAAAAAAGCTCTCTTTTACTAGTTCTTAGGTTTTCCAGCTTCTTTTCGCTTTCTGCGTCTCTCACCTGGAGTCGGTCGGTCGATGCCACTGCCTCTCCGTCAAGGTAAAAATCTCTTTCTTCGAACTCATCTTGGTGTTTATGTTAAACTTTGCTTACAGTATTCAGCTCTCAGATGTTTTGTTGAAAAAAAACGAATTTAATCGGTTAAGATCTGAAATTTTTCCACCTTTTTATGTTAGTTTCGCGATTTTTATCCTGTTTTAGAACCAGGTAGCTAAGCCTTGGTTAAAACCCGGTAACTATGATGAATTGATGCATGAGTATTTTGTATAGCTGACGCAAACTAATTTGGGATTGAGGTGTAGTTGATGGATTGATCAATTAAGGATTTCAGCTTTTGTTGTGGAAGTTGTCGGTTATTGCTAATTTTGGTTTGTATCATTTTTTATTGAAAAATAATTGTGGGCCTGCTACCTTATTACCTCGCATCAATTTTGTTTTACCTTTTTAATGTTAGTTTCGCGATGTATAACCTGTTTTAGTCCCTGATAATGATGAATATTGGGGTAAGTTAAAAACCCGAGAAAAATAAGTCTTAACTATGATGAAGTGATGCAGTGTATTTTGTATGGCTGACTCAACTAATTTGGGAATGAGGTGTAGTTGATAGATTGATCAATTAAAGATTTCAGCTTTTGTAAGTGGAAGTTGTGGTTTCTTGCTTATTTAGTTTTGTATTTTTTTATAATCATGGTGTCCGCTACCTTATTACCTCACATCACCTTTATTGACCTTTTTTATGTGAGTTTCACCAAGTATAGATGGTTTTAGACCTGGATAATGACGAAAATTGTTGTCAGTTAAAATAGTTTTAACTCTATGGTGAAGTGGTAGCAGTGTTTTTGTATAGCGGACCCAACTAATTTAGGATTGAGGTGTAGTTGATTTATTGATCAATTAAGATCACAGCTTTGGTAGCAGAAGTTTTGCTTTCTTGCTTATTTGGGTTTGTATCTGGTTTTTTTTTTTTTTTTAATAACTGTGGCGTCCACTACCAGATAACTCTGTCTACCGAAGCGGAGAAATTGCCTAGTGTTTTTTGTTTGCGCTGGGATTTGAACTTGAGAACTCATAGGTCTGAACCCACTTTGTTGACTACCAGGATACACTCTTGGCGAGTATCTTTCCTGTTTTTTGTTGAGGAAGTGGGGAGGTGTTCTTATTGAAAAAAAAAGAAAAGGTTTTTGTTGTTGAGATGTACGGTCATGGTTTTATCAAACAAATGGTATTTGTTTCAACTTTCAAGAATCCTATTTATTTATATCTAAGTTTATAGCTAGGGTTCTTTAGTTTACTGAAGTGTTTTTTCTGTTGTATGGTCTAAGAGTGATGTGGAAGTTTGTTAAGTTGTCTGGTCCAAGTATTATCTGTCATGTCGGTACATGTTTGCAGGGAACCTCTAGATATGCTTATGAAGAAATGGCAAGTTGATAAGTATCCGAGAAGAAGTTATTAACCTCTTCCCTTGATTGAAAAAATAGTTATCAACCACTTTATATAAAGTGAGTTTACTTTGTTACTTGAGCCGAGTTCTGATTCAGAGAGCTATAGGAAAAGAATGTTATTGTTATTGAATGCGAAGTTTGTGTCCATGTTGGTGGTTCTTTTGTTTCCAGTCGTTATGATTTTCACTTTACAGCTCCTGGAAAAAAGGGTGTTGCTCAAATTGATGATGCAGTTTGATGACAATGTTTTGATGCAGGTCAATTTATCAAATCAAACCAATCACTTCCTTGGAAAGTAAAAGCAGGCCTGCTTTGTTGGTGTCATACCTTTAACCTTTTTCTTCCTAGTCAGTGCTTGTCCCCTGTAACAATGGGAACACCAGAGACTTCTCGTGAACCTTGCCCTGACCGTATACTTGATGATGTTGGCGGAGCATTTGGTATGGGTGCTGTTGGAGGTTCAGCCTTCCACTTCTTAAAAGGCATATACAACTCACCAAAAGGTGAGCGCTTGATTGGTGGTACACAGGCAGTGCGCATGAATGCTCCTCGTATTGGTGGTAGTTTTGCTGTGTGGGGTGGGCTTTTCTCCTCATTTGATTGTACAATGGTTTATCTACGGCAGAAAGAAGATCCTTGGAACTCTATTATTGCTGGTGCAGCAACTGGTGGCTTTCTACAGATGCGGCAGGGACTAGGTGCTGCTTCTAGATCAGCACTGTTTGGTGGAGTTTTACTTGCGTTGATAGAGGGAGCTGGAATTATGTTAAATAAAGTCATGAGTGCTCCCCAGAACTTCCCACCCATGGAGGAGCCACTACCAAATGTCCCTGGAGTGCCTGGATATCCACCTGGGCAGCTGCCTGGTCAACCAACGGGGCAGCTTCCTGGTCAAGCTCCAGTAAGTATTGATGGTATGATGGCAGAATCATCAGCACCATCCTCTTCTTCCTGGTTTGGAGGACTTTTTGGTGGTGGAAAGAAGGAGGAGACAGCGACAGGCGGTGGTAGCAAGACACAGGTTTTAGAGAGCTTTGATGCTCCTGTACCACCTACCTTTGAGTTTAAATGAGTTAGAGAGATGATTTAATTTTCAGGTTAGTTAATGTTATTTTCTTTATTATTTGAATTTCTTATGTATTGTGAACAAGTATTAATTTTTAATCAGTGTGGCCAAGGTTTTGTTATGTTTCATGGTTATCTTTCTGAATAAATGTCTTCCTTCAAAAACACTATACTAACTGGGATCTACAAATTAGTTGAGTGGATTTTTAGGGTTGATAATAGTTTTGTGGTGGTGGGCATCATATGAATAATATCGAACCCACTTTTAGAGTATTTTGTTTCTGGTGATGTATACTTTTATCATATGTTTCTTGGTTTATATGGAAGTTAATGCTACTGCGCTTATTCTGGGGGGGTTGTTATTTTGGATATCATATATATTTTATGTTTTGATTATGTTTTAATGTTACTTTCTTTTTTATGAAAAACATGGTCAGCTTTCTGGGTAGGTAGTGATTACGAGAACTTCTATACTTAGACATAAGAAGAATATGAAGGATCCTTATGATTGGAATTTGCTGTTGATTTTGCTTGTGTACAATGGTTTCCTTTTGTGGGATTACACTGGATTTGTTGTAATTGTATGGTTTTTTTCTGCAGGATTACACTGGGTTTCTTGTTGTACAATTACTTTCTTCTACGTTTGGTGGGATCTTCTAGGTAGTTTAGTTAGCTGATGTGTTATTGTTGTTGTGAGAGAGCTTTAGGGTCCGTAATTTGAGTGTGTTTCTGGTTGTGCTAATATTAGGGTGTGGAAAAGTTTCATCTTTTGATGTTAATGGGATGATAGAGTGGGCATGAATAATATGGAATTGGTGCTTAGCTTCTTCTGATATTGTTATCTATGTGTCTTGGTTATTTGGAAGCTACTGCTTATGTTTCAAGGGAGGGTTGTTTTAGGAATAGTTTGTTTCATGTCCCTTCTCAAAAAAAGAGAGTTTGTTTTCATATCTTTTATAATGTTCACTTGTATTTTAGTTTCTGATTCAAGTTGAACAAATTAAAAGAAAAAGAGAAGTTTCTTACAGAGGAGTTTTTGGAGAAGAGCTTAAGAAAGTTTTGATACTTGATGAAGGAATTAGAGATCTGGCTCTGTTATTTTTCACTTATGTGTGATGGATTTTTAGACGGGATCTCACTGGTATCTTAATCTGCTCTGATGTATTCACATTGTCAGGAGAAAGCTGTGGCATATCATTATATCTAGTGATTTGTAGTGTCATTTGAGTTATTATCTGCCTGTGGGCTGATATTTTTGGGAGGGTAGAAGAGTTTGATGTATTGATTTGGATAATAAGGGAAAAAGGTGTCTGCCCGAATTTTTAACTACAGGCTGGTAGTGAATGTTGTTGATGCCACCTTTGCTATTGTGTTTGCTTTCTTACTTGGATATGTATGGGTATAAATATTAAGGTGCTTAGGCATAGTTGAATAGAAACGGAAAAAAGGACCATGGCAATAGAGAGGAAGTTGTTAAAGAAACTCATATTAAGATTACATGCTTAAGAGCTTTTTGTTGACTTGTGCTAGAATTATTATTGCTTTGAAGTTTTTTTTTCCATCTTTTGTCATCAATTTGCCCACATATTACACCATTAACTCATAATACATTCAAAATAGTTTTGGTGACTGTCACTAAGCGTTAATGGGTTTGTTGGATTTGCTTGCCCAGTAAATTCTGGTGTGTTTTTGCTGGATGAAGTTAGGGGATTGTATTGATCTGCCAGTACATTAACTCTACATATTGTCTTTACATTATCAAATATCAACAGCTGCCTCATGGGTGTACTTAAAGTTTATGGAAATGTATGAAGTCATTCTCTTAACCCCTCTAAAGCTCTCCAATCTCTCTCATATGGAGGGGAACTGGGGAAGCACTCCTATGCCCTTAGTTCCTCCCCCACCCCCTTTTTATCTTTAAGGCCCAACTGTGTAGCACATCTGTCATTGGAATCACACGTTGTACTGCAGCATAGTTTAGTACCGCCTCCATATTCGGGTTGCAACATGACTTATGCAACAAGAAAAAATGTGTTCTGAGCATTTGCACATGAAGCATGAGCCAACATATGTTGGCCTCTTCTTTAACAAGTTTTCAGCTAGGAGATGATTGGCTCTTGTATCGCCCGTCCTCCAGGGAGCTCTTGTTGTCATTTTTTTTTCAAGAGTAGACTTGGAAATGGAAAGGAGTGAACTCCGTAATATTGCTTAGATGTACAGCCAAAAAAATCTCAATATCAAGCCTGGGCTCAGCTGCTAGCTTTCTAATGCCCTCCACCCACACCCTCTTACTTCCCCACTGGTCACTGCATTCTTATCTTCCTGTCTGGTTGTGTGAGCTTTGGTGGTGTTCTCTGGATTGAGATTTTCCCTGTCCGTTTCCAAAGTTATAAAAAATAAAATAAAATGCAACTTACGAAACTATTGTCCCTGAGCAACTTAACTTAGGCAAAAGTGCTAGGTGGTTTCTTTCCATTTGTCCATGCTAGGTGCCTGGACACCACGGTTATTTTAAAAAATGTATTAAGTTCTTAATTGTTTTGAAATTACTAAAATTCACAGGTGAATATGGGACAACCTGATAGATCCTGGAGGTGGTTCAACCTTTGGTCTTCTTTGATGCTTTGACATATATTCTTGTTTCTTATTTCTTCTCATCCTAGATTTTACTGATATGAGCCAAACATTTGCTTCAATCTGTTTTGCAGGGGGAGCAAGTTGGTGGTCAGGACACTTGTCTCAGCTGTTGATCCAATGCCAATTTTGGTGCTAGTAAATGGCTTGTTATGGATCTTATAATAACAAAGTGCGTTTATAGTTAAATCTACAGAGCATTCGACTTAAAAGTAATATTGCATCATAGGTTGGTTTAAGTGGTATTTACTTTTTGATTATTGTATGAGTTTGACCAATTATTGTTCAAACAAATGGAAAAATAATATGGAACATTTGTGGTTGTATATGTTAACACCTGCTTAGGCAGCATCTTTTTGCATTTTTTGGACTACATGTTATTATGCTTCCTTGATATTCATGAATTACTCTTGTATCTGGTGGTACTTTTTGTAGTGAATGTGCTTCTTAGGAAATAGTAAAGAGATAAAAGTGTTAAAAACGCACCTAAATTATTACTTTTATTTTAGTTTCATACCTAAACTATTGAGAGTGTGAGTTTCATACCTAAACTATCACTTTTTAATTTGAGAAATACACATCAATGGTGTGTAGAAATGTTACTAAATAGTTGAGAAGTGGCCAGTAAGTGTGCTTTTCGACCCCTGAAGCCCTATTGAGTTGAGCTCTAAGCCCATATAAGAAAGGAAGAAACCTTCCACATCAGGACTGTATGTTGCATGGTGAAGTTACATATTTGGCCACTTGCCCAAGAATATTTATAATTGCTAGACAACACATTATATTACTAGTTCTTGAACACGTGCAACACACATGTATTTCATGCATTGTAGTATAAAAATTTAAAATTTAAAGTATTGATTAAATTTTTTGGATGTCATAAAACATGTGAAGAAAAAAATTACATTTTATTTTTTAGAACTATTTTTCTGTACATTAATTTTTATTTTATAAGGTAATTATAGATGATATTCTTATTGTTAGTTCTCATATTTGCCTTCTTGATTGAATGTGTATATAAATCAAAGATAGTTATTTGACTTTTCATATTTTTTCATTAATAAACTCAAAATTAAACATATATATATATATATATATATATATATATATATATATATATTCACACGTTTACCTTACACCCAACAAAGATATCTTCTATATTCTTGTAAATAATTTTTAATTTAGTTAACCAGACATGATTCGTTCAAGAGTCAATAACAACATTGTGTTATCGGGTAATATAGGGATGGTATAAGAATGTGAAAAGTTATTGGGCAAAAACTTAATATAAAGAAAAATGAAAGATATAAATAATTAATCTGATAACTAATGAAATTCATAATGTTATAACTAAAGAATGTAAAAGGATGTGAATAATATTTGCAATAATTAGTAATAACTGCCATAACTGAAGAATTAAAGTGTAATAGTTGAATTTCTTATTAATTCTTCATTTACGCACTATCCTTAACACAGGTAAATCGGTCTTTCTTTTTATCATACGGTATTCATGTGGAAGAACTAGGCTAGAAAAGAATCCCTCATTCATTCATCAATTTCATTGCCTCTTCCCTGTCTTAGGTGTGGGCGAAGACCGAGACTTCTCTAAGATCCGATTCGATGGTATATCCCTCTTCTATTGTTCTTAGACGGATCTCTCACTCTTGATGAAGAAAAAGACTTCAGCTTTAAAGATCCGATCTTGTCTTCACTCACCGATTCCTTTAATAAGAGGAATGCCCGGAATGCTTGGTACCCTTTTTCTTGCTACTGGTTTAGTTTCGTTACCGGCCAGAGCTCCTAGCCCTTTTGATTCTGTTTTATCTCAGTTAAACTCCACACCTCTATCAATTCATTCTTTGCCACATAGCTCTTTCTTTTTCTTTGTTGCCTTTTGAAAGGAAAGCCCTAAATAAATAGGACTTCTAATTAATTTTACTGTTATTTAGATAGTTAATTAGATTTTAATTTAGTTTAGGGGAAATATAGGTAATCTAATTTTACACTTTAAAACTTTCCGTGTGTTGAATTTTTATTCCATATTACTTAATATAAATTTACTTTTGCAAATGATAAATTTTAAATGATTCACATATTTTTCTATTTGCTATTAGATTTTTTTTAAAAAAAAAAAAGAAGAAGAGAAGAAATCAAAACATTTACAAATAATATATTTTGAAGATAGAAGATCTTGTTAACATGATGATACTTTCATGACATATATAATACTTTAATTTAAACAAATATCTATCCATATATATATCTATATATAAAGATTTGCATATAATAAAAAAATTTATATAAATATTTTTTTTAGCAATTAAAGAAAATTAAACTAATACACCCTTTAACTCGGTGTCATCGTAAATCATATGAATTTTTGTTCAATTAGAATACATATTTTTTTTTTGAAAAGTAAATAAGTAAAATGAAAGGAAAATGTTTATACAGTAATAACTATTTTGAAACAAATTTCATGACAATCTCAATCACAT